AAAAATGTGATTTACATCCAGAAAAAGAGGAATTAATGTTTCCAAAAGCAAAATCTCAGAATGAAATTAACAGAGCTGCTCCAACATGCAGCCACCTTGAGCGGCGCAATTCTAAAAAACAATCACTAGTAATTTTGCTGCATCTTCTTTCTCACAGCGAGTCCTCCTCCTCCATCTCACTCTGTCCTCTTCATCCTCTGTCCTCACTCCAACTACCTCCATGTCCTCTCTAACTGCATCCATATATCTCCTCTTTGGGTTTAAAAGCCACTGGGACGTCATGTTTAGAAAATAAACGTCTCAGTTTCTCTGAAACTCCTGCATTATACGGAATGACCACTGGTCTGGGGTCCATCTGGTGAGAAGGAGGGCCTAAAGCCCAGACCTAGAAGTCTAGAATTGTGAATCTGCACCTAAAACTAAATAGTGAGCACTAATTGCAGGAGGAAGGGAAAGAGACATTTTTGTTTGAACACGTTTCCACCTGTTTTTTGTCAGGTGTTACTAAGGTTATGGTGCAGATATGAATTTGTGCTTATTTTGTTGTTTGTTCACAGACACGAGATCCTCACAAACGTGGTTCAGAAGAATCTAAAGTAAGTCTGCCAATATGTCACACACGTCTTCACCTTTTATTTAATCTCTGAAAATCATGTACTTTAAATTTTAAGTTTAGACTCAGAAATAAACATCAGATAATTGCTTTAGTGTACAGAAAGGATCAATGTTTAGAGCTCGTTTGGTACATAATACAGCCCAGTATGTACTGGGTACTCCCTAGATGCATACCAGGTACACCAGCAGTACATAACTGAGCCAGTAAGCACATATCCAATAAGTACAAGTACTAGGCTGTTTTATGTCCCGTCATCTTTGTCGATGGATAAGAACTGCTACAGGTTTTGACTTTTATTTCTCAAACCATATTCTGAACATATTACTGACCCTAGAGATTGTTGTGAATAAAACACCACATAATAAAGTGAAACTGTGCATAGTACATCTCTATTAAAACCACATGATTTTAACCTTTACTTAAATTTTTACTAAGCTGCCGAGAGTTTCAAAGCCAACACATTCATTTGTGTTATCAACTTTTTGTTGCAGCACATTCCAAAAATCACAGTGTGAGTAATTTAGAACTAGTAACAGAGTTTTGGTCCATGAGTCGTGTCTGTGAAGGCTGAGAGTTGGAGAGTTGATGACAGACACGTTTGATCAGCTGTGACCTCATCAATTTTCTTAATGTGATGAAGTCTGAATAAGCTGACAGAGTGGGAAAACTGGAATAGCTATTAAAGAGCCTGTGAAGTTGCTGAGTGGTCATAAGAGACCGATTGTTCAGTCCACATGTGTTTTACGGGTCAAGGATCAAGGAAACTTTCTCGTCATTCACATGGCATGTGGTCCACTGGGTGGAACGGAACTATTTGTCCAAGTCCTGGTGAGGCACAAGAATAAGAACAACACATTCTTTATAAAATGGCAGAAGCTAACAGAATGAGACGGTGCTGTAACTTGGCAGGAAGGTTACAAAGTTCAGCAGTCTTACCTTCAGGGTAGAAGATGTTCCTCAGTCCAGCAGTCAGGCTCCCGATGCTCTGCAGCTTTCTGCCTGAGAGGAGGAGGGTGAAAAAGGTGTGTGCAGGATAGGTGGAGTCCCTCATGATGCAGGTGGCCCTGTTTCCTGCATCTGGATGTGTACATACGTATCCATGGTGGTGGGAAGTGGGGCCTCACTACCTTCTGAGCAGCCTTCACTACCCTGTGCTGACACCTTTTCTCTGCCACAGAGCAGCTGCTAAGCATGGACACTCTCCATAGCACACCTGCAGCAGGAGGTCAGGACTAGGCTCCTCAGCCTCGAGGTTGGTGGGTTGGGGTTTTGTTTATGCAGAGGTGTTAACCCTGCTCTAGATGTTCCACCTTCTGCCTGTAGATGGACTTGTTGTTTGTGATGCATCCAACCACAAGGTGGGCAAGGTGAACAGGAGGGGGCTCAACACGCAGCCCTGGGGAGAGTCAACTCTGAGAGTGATGGGGGAAGAGGAGATGATTTGGATCCTCACAGACTGGAGCCTGTTTGTCACAAAGTCCAGCACCCAGTTGCAGACGGAGGAACTCAGTCTGAGGGATGATGGTTTATGGACCAGGGTTTGTGGGATGATGGTGTTAAAAGCTGATGTGAAGTCCATAAAAACCAGACAGACACAAGATTCCCTCCTCTCCAGGTGGGTGAGGGAACTGTGCACCATGGATGGTATTGTCTGAGAACTAGGAGGTAGAGCTCAGCAGCCAGGTCAGATGGTGGAGGGTTAGAAAGTGCTGAAGTCAGACAAAGCAGAGATCATAGCATCGTCTACAGGGCACAGCTTGATGTTGCACTACACCTTGCAGTGACCCATCATTTCTTTCACACTGTTTGCTAGTTCGCCCAATTCATTCATTCAACCTTTATTTATACAGGTTAATCCCACTGACCCTCAGGGACTCATGTACAAGAGAGACCTGATTTTAACAAAGAGTAATGACAACATTGGACAACAAAGACAATAACAGACAATCATAAAGGATGCATACAAACTGAGAAAAAAAAATAACTAGTGAAAATAAAATGGTATTTAAAAGGAAAAGTAACAAAAAACAGCTAGATTTTAAGGCGATGTAGAAAACTAAAAACAGGAACATGTCTGCATTGTTTTTTCCCAGGACCTTAACAGATATTTGAAGCCACTTAGAGAGGTCAAGGTCGAGAGCTTCAGATCTTTTTGTAAGATATTCCAGGAAACAGGAGCGGAGTAGGAGAAGGCCCTTTTGCCTAGTTCAGTCCACACTGAGGGTACACTGCATGTAATAATGTCCTGAAAGCGCACACTAATGCCATCCAATAACTGACTCTGCTCATCTTGGCTTGTTGCATTTTCTCTGGCAGGTGATGGTGATGCAGGAGGGATCGACCTCTCTGTTCAGCCAACACCTCAAGCTGCCGTCGCTTCCCAACAACTCACTGACCGCCTCCTCCTCCGACCCAAAGAAAAGCAAGAGCTTCTACAGTTCAAAGGTCAGTGCTCCAGGTACTCCCCAGAGCTAAATGATCTTCTCCTCTGCATTTTCTTCTGCTCTGACACTCTTCACCCTGCAAAGTCTCCAGGTCCCTACATGCAGTATTTTTACAGAGGTGTCTCGGATATTTGAACTCTCAGGGCTTATAAAACTTCAAGTTCATCTTATGCACAGTATATATTAGCTACTTTCCAAACCAAAGCACTTACTTTTCTGAGTCAAACTTGCTTTCTTTTGATCTGATTTTGTGAAAAATTAATTTGCATCATGCAAGCTTGTTGAAGACTTTGGGATATTTTCAAAAAAAGAACAGAATGTGTGATGTAAGTAAAGAAAGTGGCATGTTGTTTCCATTACATGTTATTTTTAAACTGTGTCATTGCAGAGCCCGTTTAGGGGAGGCCCTTTTCACATGGAAACATTTTCCAGTCTAAACAGAGTGTGTGATGAATTACCTGTGGAGCGCCAGGTCATACTTACTCATCTCCTCTCTCAAGAAGCCTTGCCTCACTCCATTATATCTTGAGTTTTACTGCACAAAGATATCAAAAAGTTTGAAAATTAGCCCTACATACTTCAGTTTTTATCATTACAATAAATTTATTTCAGGAAATCTAAAAAAGTTAAAACTGGTCCTCTGGACATTCAAAAAAAAACAAAACAACAAAAAAAAATGTAGAAACGTTTCGTCTCTCATCCGAAAGACTTCCTCAGTCTGAGGTGCTGTATTCAGTTCAGTCTTATAAATAGCACCTTATCAGAGTGGATCAACCAGTTATTTTGAATGTCCAGAGGACCAGATTTAACTTTTTTAGATTTTTCTACCTGGATTATTGAGCATGCATCAGGTTATTTCAAGAAAGTTTCAGTTTGAGTGTAAGGAATAGAAGAAACTATACTTGGAACATTGCACCCTTTTTCAAAGAGTTCAGACATTTGTTTGTTGATTACTTATGAAAAATGTTCATTATTGAACATAAATATAACCTGTAAATGTGCCCACTGCTAAGGGTGTATTCACACCAGCCTTGTTTAGTCCACTTTAATCAAACTTTAGTCCATTTGCCTAGAAAGTCCAGTTCGTTTGGGGAGGTGTGAATGTGCAATCGAACTCTGGTACAGACCAAAAAAGCGAACTCTGGTCCGCCTAAATATCTAAGTCTCGGTCCGGTTGAAGTGAACTCTGGCGCTGTTCAAATGCATTGTGAATACAAGAGGACCGGAGACCGCTCTGAAAGCAGGAAGTGGACTACAGCGCAGGGCATTCTGGGTAAATACAACCAAAACAAATGTGCATTTCTCTTACCTCATACGGAACAAGCCGCCTTGTGTAAAAAGCAACATTCTCCATGGTCTTCTGCCTCATCTTCATCATGCTGAGTCCATTGTTGAAAAATGTTTGTTTGGCACATGAGTCACAGACAAAACAGAAATCCTAAAACTGCTAAAACTTGACACCATTCCGTTTTTGTTTTTATTTCCAAAAGAAGAAGTGTCTTCTTCAGAGGTTTTTGTGTTGTTTCTTTCAGTAGTTCTTGGTGCAGCGCCATCACAGGCGGGGTGGGGGGGGGGGGGGGGCGGGGGCGGGGCGCCCCCGCCCCCGGGCCCCGCCCGGCCTACTCAGTGCAGTGTGAATGTGAACCGCAGCAGCTGAAATGTAAACAAATGTTCTGAATATTGGTCCCCCAATCAAACCGAGTCTACCGGACTATCAGGTGTGAAAATGACCTAAAGGACAAAGAGGAAATAATCGTTTAGCATGTGTGTGTGTGTGTGTGGGGGGGGGGGGGGGGGGGGGGGGAAGGCGGCCCCCGGGGGGGTGGGGGGAGGGGGGTGTAATCCGGCCACCTCAATCATTTGAGGAAACTAGGCTTTCTAGTTTTTAATATTTCTTAAAATTATAGTTCCTCAAAGGATTGAGGTGGCCAAAGATGTATGGTAACCAAGGCCACCATTGGCCACCCCCTGGCTCCTCCACTGCACCTGGTGTTGAATCAAACTGCTCCCTCCACTCACCAGGACCCCCTGTCACTGCGCTGCCTCGGACAAACAATAACAACAAAGAACTACCTCTGTTCTTCTACGCAGTGTAACTCCTACCATTTAAATATGTTGCATGTCAGGGTTTATTTGCATTTCCTGTTTAATTCTAGTCCAGACAATCTGGAAAAACTCAACTTGAAAATATCCTGATGCATGCCCAACTTGAAAACTACACACGCTCACTACTTAAATTCCTCATGGGGAACATTGGTGTACTGCTTGTGTAACTTTAAGTAAAATGCTGTACAAATATTACAACATAAATTTGAGTCATCTTTTAAGCTGCCATCGTTTTTGTACTGAAAACATATTAAAGTTCTGTGATAGTAACCTGTTTATTATTGATAGGCAAGAAGTGAAACTATGTATTATTTCCAGAGCCCTAAAACAGTTCTTCTACCAGGAAGGGAAATGGCTTTGCTGCAGCAGAGGGCTTCAGTGAAGTTACAAATGAGCCAGCTGTACATCTTCTGGCCCCCAGGGTCACGAGCCAATAGACAAAATGAAAGGTTTTAGTGGTGGTTGGGGAGAGTTGTAACACAACCCGTCGTCTAGACGACTTTAATGGGTTTACTGCATTTGTGAAATATTGACAACAGGGCTAAAAGGTGAGACCTCGGGACAAATGGCTCCCGTTGTTAAAACTAATGTATTTCCCCTTTTGTTTTTTTCCCACCTTTTTAAAGTTGTGTAACTCTTGAAAAGGCTTTCTTGCTCGCTAAACAGGTCACCTCAAAAGAAGTTTGCTCTTCAAGCAATGGGAGCTAAGAAGACTCTTTGGATTTTTTATTTTTTTTCCAGAATGGGGTTCTTTTGGGGTGGTGTATGTTTTGTCTTGTGTTAAAGCCAGAGGTTTAATCTATTGGTGATCTAGATGCTTGTTTTTATTTCCTCACTCTTATAAATTATTTTACAGTTCTCTTACTAAAACTAGCTGCAATAGATCTGGTTTTAACACAGAATAATGAGAATGTTTCCATGTTTTAACGTTGAGTTATACCGATCAGTGGTATTAAGATTAAGCCCGTCCAAATGTCAGCCAGAAGTATATCCCTCATTATGTTTGTCCACCGAACTAAAGAGGGATTTCCCTTTTCCTTTTGAGCTCAAAGCTTGTTTTTCTTCTTTTCTCTTTTTCTTTTGGAGCTTTGTTGATCAAGATTTTTATTTTTATTGATCATTTTACTGTATGCTTGTGTGCAGCACGGTGGCACAACTGGTAGAGCTGCTGCCTCTCAGCGAGCAGGTCCTTGGTTCAAACCCCGGTCCAGGGGCCTTTCTGGGTGGAGTTTGCATGTTCTGTCCGTGCATGCGTGGGTTTTCTCTGGGTACTCCAGTTTCCTCCCACAGACCAAAAACATGAATGTTAGACTGATTGATAACTCTAAAATTGTCCCTAGGTGTGAGTGAGAGTGAATGGTTGTTTGTCTCGTTTGTCTCTATGTGGCCCTGTGATGGACTTGCGACCCGTACAGGGTGTACCCCGCCCCTCGCACAGTGATTGCTGGACATGGGCACCGGCGACCCCCGTGACCCAAAATGGAATAAGCGGGTAAAGATAATGGATGGATGGATGCTTGTGCATGCTTTGTGTTTAAACAAATATACAAAAATCTGACTAAATTAAAATAGTCTTAGAAGGACAGCAAAGCTTCAATTGAATTTATTTGTCTTTTTTTTTTTTTTTACATAAAACAAAATACATTATGTCCCCAGGACATGTGGCAAACATAAAATCCACACTTGCCAGAATTATTTTAAAAACCAAAAACAGCCAATTAAATATGCTATCGAGCCTAAATACTAGAAGCTTATCTAAAATACACACATACTGTAGATATATCTACAATTCAATTCAGTTTATTTCTATAGCTCCAAATCACAACAGAAGTTATCTCGGCACTGTAGAAAAACCTTCACAAACATTAAAAAAGTCAATTAGTAAAGATCTCTATCTATGGAAGCAGCAGATTGAGCTGATATTCACTTCGTCACAGACTCCCATCCTGAGCAAGCACAAAGGAGACAGTGGAAAGGAAAAACTCCTTTTTAACAGGAAGAAACCTCCAGCAGAACCAGGGTCAGGACGAGCAGCCATCTGCTTCGACTGGCTGGGTTTGAGAGGCCAGGAAGCAGAAACAGACGAACACAGAATGACACGTTTTTATAGGAGGAAAGACACAAAAACGCATTTTAAGATAGAAATAATTCCAAATACAAACTATTCATTTGTAACTATTCATTTGAGGAAATGTAGTCAGTTTGTCCTCCAGCAGTCTAAACATAGCAGCATAACTAAGGGATAGCTCAGTAATCCCAAGCCAACCCTAACTATAAGATTTATCAAAAAGGAAAGACTTAAGCCTAATCTTAAAAGTATCTATCTATATACATATATGCACATATAAACATACATGCACCCATATCCATATTAAAAATATATATTAAAAGCATACATATATATTAAAAACACACTCATATCTATAAACCACTAGAGCAGGGCTATTCACCAAAACTGCTCAGGGGTCCGCAGTTTCTGAAAGCCAGTCAGGGCCCGGACACCCAGCAATTAAAGTCATTATGTAAATAAACCAAGTTTTACAATGATCTTTTACCTTTTAAATTTGTTTGTTTTATTGCATTGAATCATAAATGCAATAAACAGAACCCAACCCCCCACCCCCCAAAAATATATTTTTTAAAGAGCTCATTGTTGGGCCAGACTGAAGTTACCCGTGAACCACTTCTGGTCCGCGGGCCGCCAGTTGAAATTCCAACGGAGCCACAGGTGTGACATATTGGGTGATCAGTCGGAAGCTAGAGTATATGGCCTGACGTCACCTGATGCTCTGCTCCTACAGAATCTTCTCGTGGAGTACAAGGATTTTGAGTGACAGAGAAGCTCTGGCAGTCATCCGGGATTCATAGAACCATAGTTACATATGTAACTTTTGT